CCATGTTGGCCAGGCTGGTCTTGAACTCCTAACCTCAGGTGATCCACCCCCCCCCTCCCGCTTAGCCTCGCAAAGTGCTGGGATTACAGGCCTGAGCCTCTGCGCCCGGCCCAATATAAACACTATGGTCTTAATAATCACACAACACATTTATCACTTACCATTGCTAATTAGGGGTTACAGATAACATGGTAAGTGGAATCCAAAAATAATCTAAGCAAATCCTGCATTAATCATTAATTTCAGTGACTTTTCCAAATAATTCTTACTTTTCCCCTCAAATCTGTGAACAGCTCACACGTTGGTGGTAGGGGGTCTGTGAACAGCTTACACATTATCACACGTTGTTAGTGGGGGAGCAGCATTTGGTTGGTCCTGAGAAGATAGAGGCTGATGAAATTTCTAAAAAGTGAAATGCCCCCCATTGAGTAGTTCCGTACATCAGAGAGGTAAAACCTTGCAGCAGTGGTCCCGTGAGGGAGGGTGGAGGCCGGGATGAGGAGAGTGTCTTGCCTGCTTGGTAGCTTGACTTTCTTCTGAAATGTGTGTCTTTCTTCCGCCTGTTGCCTCTCGTAGCCCGAGTTCTTTCAGGTCTGCCACACCAAGAAGGACTATGAAGAGTACGGGCCCAGCATCTGCCGCCACAACCCCGTCTTCGGAGTCATGTCCTAGTGTCTGCCTGAAAGCGTCGTTCAATGGTGTCACGTTGGGGAACAAGTGTCCTTCAGAACCCAGAGAAGGCCGCCGTTCTGTAAATAGCGACGTCGGTGTTGCTGCCCAGCAGCGTGCTTGCATTGCCGGTGCATGAGGCGCGGCGCGGGCCCTTCAGTAAAAGCCATTATCCGTGTGCGACCGCTGTCTGCCAGCCTCCTCCCTCACCCGCCCTCCTCTCCCTCGCTCTCCCGCCTCCTCCTCCTCTTCCGAGCTGCTAGCTGACAAATACAATTCTGAAGGAATCCAAATGTGACTTTGAAAATTGTTAGAGAAAACAACATTAGAAAATGGCGCAAAATCATTCTGCCCCGGGAGAGAATGTGGGGGTGCAAACCCTTTTCCTCCCAGCCTATTTTTGTAAATAAAATGTTTAAACTTGAAATACAAATCGATGTTTATATTTCCTATCATTTTGTATTTTATGGTATTTGGTACAACTGGCTGATACTAAGCACGAATAGATATTGATGTCATGGAGTGCTGTGATCCAGAGTTTTTAATTGTGAGGCATGTTCTGATATGTTTATAGGCAAACAAATAAAACAGCAAACTTTTTTGCCACATGTTTGCTAGAAAATGATTATACTTTATTGGAGTGACATGAAGTTTGAACACTAAACAGTATTGTATGAGAATTACTACAGACCTTGTATGTTTTAGTTTTTTTTGTTTGAACTTTCTGGAACTGTTTTATAGAAGATGATGGTTTGTTGTCGGTGAGTGTTGGATGAAATACTTCCTTGCACCATTGTAATAAAAGCTGTTAGCATATTTATAAATATCTTTCTGCTGTAGTGTGGTGGTCTGTTGTTTTTCTCCCTGTCGCTGTGCTTCTTTTAAAGAATATTGACATTGTTTTACATCATTGGCGGATTTGATTAATACCCAGCTTGTGGGAGGAAATGTCTTTTTCTGAATGGTGTGGGCTGCCTGCCCTGCAGTGGCCAGTCCATCGCTGGGGTATCGTGGGTCTGGATAACCCGTCAGAGATGGTTTTGGCATCTGGGGTATAGTGGGAAGGAGCGACTAATGATTTCTGATATTCTTTCCTAGAAATTCAGGATTCATGACTGTAAGCTTTCAGTAACTACTCTGATGTTTGCTGAATGGATTGTTGGCTTGAAAGGTAATTTGCTCAATTAATAGATTTAGGTTTATTTCGCTCTTCATATAATTCTTATGTTACTTTAAAAATTGCTATTTATGGTATTTCTTCTAAGTTGTGAAGTGTGTTTTTTTTTTGTTCTGTTTTAAAATTTTTTCCTTACTTCCACTCTCAAAGGAGGTGAATGAAGTATGTTTTGTTCTCAGAAAATTTGCCTTCATAAAGAAGCGTAGCCAGGTGCAGTGGTGTGCCCCTGTGGTCCCAGCTCCTCAGAAGGCTGAGGCAGGAGGATCACTTGAGTCCAGCAAGTCAAGACTGCAGTAAGCTAGGATTGGGCCACTGTATTCCGGCCTGGGCGACAGAGTGAGACCCCATGTCTTAAATAAAACAAAAACAAGAATAACAACACAAAAATGTGATGTTATTATTTGAGTTTAGAAATAAGTTTAATATTGAACTCAGTATGGTGAAATCTGAGTTTACCAAGCCTCAGCTGCCCAAATCTCTGATATTGTCACTGTGCTCGACCCTCAGTCTCCCCAGTCAAGAGTCTCGTACCACCTGCTTCTCTCCTGATCCAAAGTGTCTCTCTGCATTCCCTTGGAGATTTGCTGCTTCTCGGGATTGCTGTACCATTGGCTTCTCATGATCTTCCAGCCGTTTTATTGCATCATATTCCCGGTTGGTCTGCCTGCCTTCAGTCACACCTTTGCACCCTGAACATGGTAGCAAGAGCCATTCATTCCTTCTAACGCCATTTTCCTCTTAGTTCTATGCCATTCAGGGACCTACCTGATACTCCCACCTTCACCCTGCCCCGTCCGGTTCAGCATGCTTTGCACATCTCACAGTGCGCACTGTCATTCCCACCTCTGCCCTGCATCTGGGCATTGGCAGGTGCTTTGTTGCACCTTCTCCAAACCCCGGGAATAACACCGCTCTGTATGTCAGTGCTGTGGCAGCCTGGCTAAGCTAGAGCTGTGTAACCTGTCCTTCCACCACAGGACACCCAAAGCTTCCATGTTTGGTACAAGATGATCTTAGAGATTGTACTTCTGTTTGTCAACTTAAAGGACTGTGGGAAATTTTTTTTTTTTTTTTTTTTTTTTAAGATGGAGTTTTGCTCTTGTCCCCCAGGCTGGAGTGCAATGGTGCCATCTTGGCTCACCTCAACCTCCACCTCCTGGGTTCAAGCGATTTTTCTGCCTCAGCCTCCCGAGTAGCTGGGACTACAGGCATGCACCACCACGCCCGGCTAATTTTGTATTTCTAGTAGAGATAAGGTTTCTCCATGTTGGTCAGGCTGGTCTCGAACTCCTGATCTCAGGTGATCCGCCCACCTTGGCCTACCAAAGTTCTGGGATTACAGGTGTGAGCCACCATGCCAGGCTGAGCACATTTTGTTTTAAACCTACATTGACAGGACAGAGTGATCCATTAGAATGTGACAGGTATGATGCTGTGGTTCTCAACCCTGGGCAAGATCCATCCCAAATTAAGAGAATCAGAATACAGGCCCCAGGGAAGACATCCTATTTTTGCTTTCTGTTTTTAAACTCCTTAGGGATTGCCAGCATAGCTGGATCTGAAAGGCTTATGAGCAGAAGGATGGGTTTTTGACTCAGAAAGATCTGAGTATGAATTCTGGCTGTTCCTTAAGCAAATGAGATCCTGTTTTCTGTTTGCTCATCTGTGGGAGAATTGTAATGGTCCTTTTGCTGTTAATAGAGGTGAGTTATAATTTTTTGTTTATTCAACAAGCCTGGCAGGTACTATAGATAGAAACGAACTGTGATTCTGCCATGTGTACCATTCACTTTATAAGGAAGAAAAATGTTTACAGTTAGTAATTTTGATAAAATCTCTACTTACCTTTTGTTCAGGTTGAATTAATTAGATCATAATCTAGAAATGAGTTAAGTATTCCTAGAGTTGATGGGTGAAATTGACCTCCTATGACAAAATTACAACTCCAGGTGAGCAGTTTTCTGTAGAAAACATTTCACCAAATATACTCGTTAAATTCTAAAATTACAAGTCTACGGTCTTTAGGACTATTAAAGCAAACCTTTTAATAGTGCAGGAGCCAGGTGTGGTGGCGAGTACCTGTAGTCGCAGCTACTGGGTAGGTGGAGGTGGGAGAATCCATTGAACCCGGGAGTTCAAGGCTGCAGGAGCCAGGGTCGTGCCACACACTCCAGCAACAGTGAGACCTTCTTAAAAAGTGCAGGAAGTTGCTTTGCCCTATTTAACAGATTTAGACATAAACTCAGCTTTACAATGGTGGGAATATTATACGAATGGCCTTAACTTAAAATGTGGCAACTAGTATGTGAATATTTATTTATTTATTTTATTTTATTTTTTTTTGAGACGGAGTCTTGCTCTGTCACCCAGGCTGGAGTGCAGTGGCCAGATCTCGGCTCACTGCAAGCTCTGCCTCCCGGGTTCACGCCATTCTCCTGCCTCAGCCTCCCGAGTAGCTGGGACGACAGGCGCCCACCACCTCGCCCAGCTAGTTTTTTGTATTTTTTAGTAGAGACGGGGTTTCCCCGTGTTAGCCAGGATGGTCTCGATCTCCTGACCTCGTGATCCACCCGTCTCGGCCTCCCAAAGTGCTGGGATTACAGGCTTGAGCCACCGCGCCCGGTGTATGTGAATATTTAACATTATCTTTCTAAGAAGATACGATGGCTGGCTCAGAGCTGCTCTTTCCAACACACCTGTGGGAACAGCCTCTCACTTCTTTGGGGATATTCATCGGCTGTTCCTGAGGGTTTAGCTTCGGTTTTATGAACTTTTAAGCCAAGATTAGATTAAGTAATGTGAAGCTTATGAGTTTGTTTCTGTGTATGGTGAGGGTTGGGGAAGAAACGAGAGAAATGGAGACTTCTGAAGTGGGGGCCGTAGAAGAGGACCCGATCAGGGCTGCTGAGGATGGGGGAGGTGACTGCATCCCCTACAGAGGGGGGAAGGGGAAGCGCGGAAGGCACCCGGTGCTTGTGTTGACCAACTGCAGGTGGGTGGAGGACTCTCCCCGGTTGAGTTTCCATTTCCACGTGGCCCAAATGGAGGAGGGAAGAGGGCAAGGCTTTCTTAGGGGTTGGGGTTTGGGTTTTGCCAGGCAAGTGTGATGATGGGTGGGGCAGGTGTCCTGGGGGCAGGCAGGTGTAGACGGGGTTCCTCTGCTGCTAACATGAGGGACCACGGACTCCAAGTAGGGTGGGGAGCAGAGGGAGATGACAGATTGGGAGGAATGGAGGCATCTGAGGACTGGAGGCCCTGGGCTTCAAGATTAGGAGGTTGTGGTCCTGAAGAACGATACTAAGATTTCAGAGGTGGAGCACCTCTCAGCAATAACAGGGTCATCGAAGCGGTCACTGTGTAGAGATTGAATTCACTGGAAATGGAAGAATGTAGGGAATTTTGAGAGAAGAGCATTGGATAGGTTGTCCGGTGGGTGCTGGCTCACGCAGGAGGCTGTGGGGGTGGAGATGAAGTCTGGTCCAGCTGTCTGAAGTCCCGCCTCAGCCTCGGGGTGGCAAGGAGCTGAGCACGGGCTGTGAGCTGGGCACTGCGCCGAGAGTGACCCCCGTCGGGAGTGATGCTGCCTAGGCTCCTTTCATCTGAACGCAACCCTGTGAAGTTGGTGCTGCTCTTCCCATTTTCCGGACAGGAGAGCTGTGGCTGAAAGAAATTCAACCACGTGCCAAAACCACACAGCCAGGAAGCCGAGAAGTCATACTGAATCTATTTTCTCCAGTCTTGTAGAAGTAGGTCATAGCAACCGGTGAGAAACCGGGTGGTAAAACCCAGTGATAGGAATCTGCGGCATGACTTCATCAGATAGCGGAGTAGAAAGAGTTTGGAAATGTGGGGAGCTGGAAATGCCCCTCGAATCCAGATGCTTCGGTATGTAACGTGTTCCGGGGAGCCACTGATGCAGGGTGTCTAGATGTAAAATTATTTTCATTTCTGTTCACAGTGCTTTGTTAATATATGTCTTGTCAGGTGCACTGGCTTTATGTTACAAGGCACATACAAGACAGTTGTTAATCTGAGCGCTTGGAACCATAATTAGCCCCTAGTAAGTGTTCAATAAATTTTAGCCATTATTATTATTCTGTTACAAAGCAGTTGCTGTGTCTTAAGAGCTCTACTTATCAAAATGGTGTTAAAAAAAGTTTCAGTATAGGAAAAGGGAATTTTAGATTCATGAACTGTCTTGCCTTTTGGAATTTCATTAAGAAAGGGTTAGAAAAAAGATACTAGTATGTAGTAGTAGAATGCAGACTCACAGGGCCTTTTCTTACCACTGCAGCTGATAGGAATCGAATCACTTTTATCGTCCATCTAAGGAAAAGGAAGCCGCTTGGAGCCCTGGGTTGCCCGCATGGCAGCTGTCTCCCACTGGGCTCCAGACCAAGTCATCCCGTCACAGCCATGTGAGGACGTCTCTGTTTTCGGCTGTGCATGTTCCATAGGCTTGCTACTTGGGGGCAATATAGTGGAAGGCGCCCTGAGTGGCCCCCCTGGGGGTGTTTGTTCCCTTCCCTGGAGTGCTGTTGCCTGTCCGGGGTGTTCACCCTCCTCTGCCGCTGCCGCTCTGTGTGTGGAAGGCAGCCCTCCTTCACCAGTGCACCAGTGACATCTGTGTCCCTCGCCAGACTGACGTCCT